AAGCTAATTATGACGATATCAATCATTCTTTATCACTTCTCAACTGGGATCAACTTTTCAAGGATAAAGATGTCGACGAATCAGTTGAGGCTTTTACAACAGAAATAAAAAATACAGTGGAAGAGTTTGTTCCTAGCTATAAAATTAAAGGTAACTAGCCTGTTTATTTCAAGGCTGACACTATCAAAACTATAGTAAAGAAAAACAAAATTCATAAAAAATTCAAATCCACGAATAATCTAGAACACTACAACACCTTTGCCAACCTCAGACGACAATCGAAACAGTTCATAAGCCGGGACTTTCAAACGTATGTTCGAAATATTGAAAATGAAATAAAACATGATTCAAAAAAATTCTGGAAATTTGTTTCCAATAAGAAAAAAACTGACACTGCTATACCACAAACTATGCATTACGACGATGCAATAGCTCAGGGCGGACGAGCCGTCAGTGGTCTATTCGCTGAATTTTTTAGTAGCGTATTTGTTGAAAATAATAGTGGTACTCCAGATTTGACCGACAATTTACCAAATTGTATTGGGACGATCAGTGCGGAATCCGTTCTTTCCATACTTACATCATTAGACGAAAACAAATCGGCTGGGCCTGATAACATTTCACCACTATTCATTAAGAATTGTAAAAACACTCTATGTTATCCGTTAACAAAAATTCTCAACAAATCACTTGAAACAAGCACTTTTCCGTCTCAATGGAAAGTGGCAATTATTACACCATTATACAAAAGTGGACACAGACATTTGGTAAAAAATTATAGACCAATTAGCAAACTATGTATTTTCGCAAAGATATTCGAGAAGATCATTTATCAAGAGATATTAGCATCCGTGAGAAATGTAATCGTAGAAGAGCAGCACGGCTTCTTTCCCAAAAAAAGCATCGAGACGAACTTACTATGTTTTTCTGATTTTATTTCCGATGCTCTTGATAAAAGAATTCAGGTAGACACTGTGTACACCGACTTCAGCAAAGCATTCGATAAGATAGACCACTCTATTCTTGTGGAAAGGCTGGCGGGGGTCGGTGTACACAGATCGCTGTTGAAATGGATCTGGTCCTACTTAACTAATAGGGAGATGATGGTGTCAGTAAATGGTTTCAATTCGCATACCTTCAAAGCAGTTTCCGGTGTTCCGCAGGGTAGCCACCTTGGTCCATTATTTTTCATCATCTACATAAATAATATAAAAAACTGTTTTGAACACTGTTGAATACTACTATATGCTGATGATTTGAAAATATTTTCATTGGTAAAGGGTGTCGACGACTGCTTCAAAATTCAAAGTGACCTTGACAGGCTTGCCGATTATTGCGACAATAATAGTCTCTTTTTAAACCCAACCAAATGTTTTGCCATAACATATTCAAGAAATAGAAATCTCATCCAGCATACCTACAAAATTAACAATAACAACCTTGAATATATCACCGAAATCAAAGATCTAGGCGTCACACTGGACACAAAATGGACTTTTAACAGTCACATAGACAAACTGATCAACGGGACGAACAGGATGGTTGGGTTCATAAAAAGAAACGGAAAGTATTTTCATAATTCTGAGACTATCATCTCACTATATTATGCATTCGTCAACAGCAAGCTTTCTTTTGCGTCGGCTATTTGGAATCCTCAATATGCCGTACACTCAAGAAGGATAGAAAGTGTTCAAAATAAACTGTTAAGATTCCTAGCCTTTCAAAACAAGATTAGCGTTCAGGACCACAATTATCAGCCGATTCGGAATCAATTTAAAATTATGCCACTTAGTAAAAGACGTACTCTCTCAGACTTATCTATTCTTTTCAAAATTATTAGACATGAAATCGACTGCCCATACTTACTTGCAAAAATAAATTTCAATGTTCCCAGTAGAAACAATCTCCGATATTATACCCCATTCAATATCCCTTATTGTAGAACCAATCTAGGACAAAACTCGCCACTAGTTCGTATGCAAAAAGCATTCAACACACACTGTCACGATCCCAATTCATCTCTCGACATTTTCTCGACATCTTTGCCTCGTTTCAAATCTTTTTTGAAAAATATGTTTCTCAACTCAGATCAATAGTTAAAATGGTTCCTCATTTCCTGTACTCGTTTTATTATGATCTATTATATCCCACAATTTTTACTATATTATTAACATAAAAACATCTTCATACCATATTTTTTAAATCACATTTGATTATTGCCAGATAATTTTATATCGATAAGAAACCTTTATTTATGTATAATTGTAGAAATAACTTAGAATAATTCTTACATAGTGGATGCTGTTTTTTGGAACTTTGTTCTGTTAGCAACCTAAAATGGTAAATAAATAAATAAATAAACACTGATTTTTCGAATGGGAATACAAGATAATGATAGGTAATCAAAACTTTTTTCGAAATACGCGTACGAAAATTGGATAGAAGTGGTGGTTACATTTGATTTGGACTGCTCACTTCAGTCCATAGATTTCAGTCTTAGTCAAAGTTCTGTTCGAGTTTGAGCGTACTCTAAGACTACCCTAAACCAAATTGCATGTGAGAAAGTTTTATTTTGTGTTCCTGAGCCATTTTGTGATTTCAATATGCCGAGAAGTATCGGAAGACATTTGAAGCGGGATAAAAGGTCCAAAGCCGCCAGATTACGATATTCAAGGTGAGTACCTAATCAATAGTGGATTTAATTAGTCATAATAGGGTAGTATTTAGATTGCGATTCAGATTTTGTATTGTTTTGATTATCTACTGTAGATATATTCATTCACTATCCACATATCAACACAGTTCACTGAAGTAGATTTCTTAAAAATACTCTTTTGATATATGATGTAAAATTACTGGTAATTTAGAAATCGGTAATATTCCTAGTGATATTACGTAACCTTACGGTAACATTGATAAATCATAAAAAATAGCCCTTTCCACGGTAAGTATGTTTCATATTTGCCGATGAATAAATCCATAAGTAGATGGTTATAATAGTTGTATAAACGACACCCTTTATAACAATAATGTCGCTAATTATGTAATGATGAAAACACTGAAAAGTAAAAACAGGAAGACTTCACAAAGATACAAAGTATCGCTTCACGCTTGCCACGGTGCACCCCACGGGGAACCACAGAATTGAATTGTCACAACACAACTCAGATTTCGGGCATTACCTACCTGATCGATATGTTCAGGAAGCGGCTGAGGACCGGTGATTTTTCTGCTCTATTTCTATTACTATTACTATTCAGCAAATAGATAATGCGTAATATATTTAAATGGATGGTTGCCATACTCCATACTGATACATGACACGTTGCTCACGCAAATACAAGGCTTGAATCAATAAACTGTATTGCCTACCAGTTATTTTATAATTTGTCTTAAGTTTTTTGTTTTTTCCGCATATACAGGGTGAGTCATTGGAATGGAAAAGTGAGATAAGGGCTCCGCTGTTTGAGATAGAGCAGCATATTTTTAAAATATTTTGCGTTATATACAGTGTGACTCAAAAATGCATGGCGTATCAAAGTTATACTTTTTCTTATGGGATACCCTGTATTTCATTGCATTTTAGAATTCTCCTTTGTAAGCTGATTCCATTACTGCATCACACTTGGGGTCTAACGGCAATGATTACAGAGATTTATAGGGTGTTCAAAACCGAGATTTTTCAACTTTAGGATTTTTTTGTGTCGAAACTATGCATTATTGATTGAAACGGCTTACATGTCCGTATATTAACTTTTGATTCACTTTCGATTGATATTCAATTCGAAAGAATACAGAGGGGGGTTCATAATTCTTTATTTCGAACCGAAAGCAGATACTCTTTCTTCAAGGTTTGTTTTTCGGAACTAATTGTATATTTAATCCTTAGTGATATGAAAATAATGAATAATAACATAGTAATTTGATATCCATGTTATAGAATTCCTGGATGGTCTACAAAGAAATATGTCCCAAAAAAAACTCCCAAAGCAGGTATAATATCTTCTGATGAATATGAACGGTTAGTAGGCTGAATATACATTGGTGCAAATTTTATGGATACCATGATTCAACCGGATTTTCAATTTCTTTTTGACATTTTGTGATTTTTTCTCAGTATTATGGCACATGAATTGGCTTATGAATATGAACCAAGAAAATAATCTCCTATCACTGGTAATCGCATAGTGGAATTGGGTTATGTCTTAGACTGGGGCATTCCTCTTCAATATACTCATTCCAAAATATGTACAATGGGAATCTTATCAGTAAAAAAACAAATTCGAAGAGGTTGTGGGTTAACCAGCATAATTGTATTCGAATGTAATGCTTGTGAAAGAAAGTATAACTTTCATACAGAGAATCCCAACCGAGAAAAGTCATTGATCAATATAGGTGCCGTATGGGGTACAATGGCGACTGGCAGCACATATTCCCATATGAGTGAATTTTTGAGCTGTATGGATGTGCCAACTATGTCTCAACATTCATTCAACCATAATGAATTTGAGCTCGGGAAGGTGAGGCTCATGTCATCTATAACCTGAAAGATTTGACATTAAAATATCATTATAATTTCTACTGACATTGAACTAATTTGAGCTCAATATCAGTTTGAGATTCAGATCAATAAATTTTCAACGCAATATAACAATATTAAAAACCATTTCAATTCGTAGGAGTGGGAAGCTTCATGTTCGAGGTCCATGCAGTCTGCTGGCGAAGTGGAAAAACAGATCGCCATCAATAATGGCCAACTCAGTTCTGATGGTACCCCTTGGATCACAGTATATGTTGACGGCTGATGGAGTAAGAGATCATATGGTACCAATTTCAATGCATTATCGGGTATGGTAGGTATAATAGGAAAAAACACTGGAGAGTTAGTATATGTGGGAGTTCGAAACAAATACTGCTCCATTTGTTCATAAGCAGAAAATGCCGGGAAGGCAACTAAGGACCATATATGCTATAAGAATTGGGACAGTTCCGCTTCAGCGATGGAAGCAGATATGGTTGTCGAAGTGTTCAACCAAAGCGAGGCTATGCATGGAGTTCGTTATGGAAAATTCATAGGCGATGGTGACTCCAGTGTTTTCAGCAAAATACAACAGCTCGTCAAACATGGAAAACAAGTACGAAAAGTTGAATGTACCAATCATGCATTGAAAAATCATGGAAAAAGACTGAGATCCATAAAATCAGATACCCAAATAAACCTTAAAGGTCGTAAACTGTTAACAATCGCAAGAATTAAACTATTGACTAAACGGGCAAAATGTTCAATTTATGAACATGCGAAAAAAACTGTTCCCAATGTTGACCTGTTACGGCATGATTTTAAAAACGGGCTGCATCATGTTTTAGGTGATCACTCCAACTGCCGAGAAGGAATATGTAATGATGTTGGCAACATTTCATCTATATAGTATATTGACAGATCTAAAGTCAACAACGATCTACAATCATTTAAATGGTAATGATAGTTTCCTTTGTATATAGCATAAAAAAATTGTAAACAGTTGGTATCTAAATAATGATATTTTCGAATATTTATAATTTGAACAATTATTTTGAAACACGGAAATTCTATGTCCCAGCTAACATGATCACGTAATATTGACGTCTTTAATTGGTCAATATTGGTAAATGACGTCGAGGACTTTAGGTCGACGTATATCATACGTCATATTTTTGACCAATGAAATACGTCATTTCTATGTCGTCATTATGACGTTAATTATACGACATATGAAAACAATACATCAGACAAGCAACAGATCATCTCAATTCATCTACCATACTATAAGAGTCATGTTAATAATTTAAATAGCTTCCAAATAATTTTATTTCAATTTTATATAATATATATATATATATACAATTGAAGAAGAAAACACAGAATGCAGTGTCCCCTTCCTTGACACAAGGTTAACGAGAAGTGTGGACAATATCGTCAAAGTTGACTGGTACAGGAAATCATGCAGTTCAGGGAGATACATGAATTTCCATTCATACCAGAAGTTCTCAACAAAGTTGAATTTAGTGAAGCAGATGAAGAATAGGGTGCTTATGATCTCTGACAACTCCTATCATGAAAAAAATCTAAAAATACTGTTAAATCTTTTTATTGAAAATTCTTATCCTCCCAAATTAGTAAAAAACATTTTATTCAATACACCAAATATTCCAATGAATGTACCTGATGATGGTATCAATATACCTGATACTCACCCAGCTTCCAACATCAACAACACCAATATCTTCACCACTTTACCTTACTTCAAGGAACTAGCTCCTAAATTATCAAGAATATTCTCTTCCATCCCCAATATTAACATAAAAATTGCTTATAAAACTGTTTTACCACTTAAATCAATTTTCTCAAAATTAAAAGATAAAGTCCCTCTTACATCTCAATCACATGTAGTTTATTGTATACCTTGTCAGGATTGTGACAGAAAATATATTGGCCAATCTAAACGGTCCATTTCCAATAGAATAACTTCCCACAAGAGTGACAGTAGGCTGCACCCTGAGAGATGTGCCTTGGCTTGTCATGTCAATGAGTTGGATCACAAAATGAGCTATGAATCTGTGTCAATTTTAGCAAAGGAGAGTAATTACACTAAGAGGATTTTTCTAGAAATGGCCTTCATTTCGCAAGAACCAAAGTGCATTAATAAAAAAACTGATGTAGACCACTTAAGTGAAATCTATGCATACCTGTTGTCAGTTGACAATACTTCAACACAACTTGAAATTTAAAATTAACCCACTCCTCATATTCAAATGAGAATTCGCATAAATAACATAAATAACATTTTCTCTCTTTAAATTCATCTATCTTCACAAAACAAAAAAAAAAAAAAATTCAAATAAAATTATAAATCATACTTGACAAAAGTCAAATTGCTAGGAGGATTAATATATCTCTTCTACTCCTTCAGTTTTCTGGTTGTTGACTGATTATAACAAATGCACATTGTGGCTATGGCACTTTTCCCACCTATCAACTTTCCACAAATAATCAGTCACAAAGTAGTGATTGAAAGAGGAGAAGAAGAAACTTAACCTACTACATCATTAGTACTTGCCGCTAAAATGATGATTTTTTCTCATGTTCTCACATTTTCAACATTTTACAAATTAACTAAATTCATACAATTGTGATTGATCCTGTTTTTTGTTAGTCTTATCAACTATGTCATTATCGTCTTATACAATTTTATCATTATCAACATTAATGTGAACCAACCTCAACAAAGATGTAAGTAGAAAAAACATTTTTTCTTTTGCTACAATTAATGTGACCTAATGGAAAATTGTTGTAGTTCCCTGATGATGGAAATATAATATTCCGAAAGCTTGGACAAACTTTAAAGAGTACTCTTTTCACTTTGCTGCATTCCCCAATAAACCTAGTTTTACCTATATATATATATATATATACATATATAAATATTCTTCTATACTTTACAAACCTACTTCTGAAACAGGACAGAGAAATGGATTCCATTTGGCTGAAAATATTCCAAACAAATCATTATCAAAAGCTCATAATTATTTTGGTGAAACTACAATAAATTAGATATAATTGATTCGTAGTTTAGATATAGAATGAATGAATTCAGTAGTTCATATTACGCGCCAACTAGGTAGTTTGCGCTTGCGTTCTAAGTTTCCCCCTACATCGCGACACTTCTCCGCATCTCCGCTACTCGCTACACGTCATTCAGTTGATATATAGTTTTATCTTCGTCGGATCCATGCACGCGGCTGACGTGACACTTCATTAGCTACCGTAACGACGTAACGATGTATTGCTGTCCTTTACTTCATCGAGATAGGTGATGCGCCATCTTCACGTATTGACGTAGTGAAGTAATCAGGTTGAATTGAACGACGACTGTGATTGTCGTTTGTCGATTGTCGTACGCGTGTGCAGAGAATAAATTTTGGATTAGAGTTCTTGTTTTTATTATTCATTAAAATAAATTGTGTAGGTACACATTATTGGGTGGGTGTGATTGTTTGTGTAAGGGTATATATTCGACAACAATAACTACTGGTCCCGGTTCGTTTGTTACGGGATGATACGGATAAAGGAGTGATGAACATGAACTTCCTTGGAGTTGAATTCAGAGATTCCGAAGATGGCGGCGGTGGTGGACTAGCAGTTGTTCACTGCAAGTGGCTCACGCCGAAAAAAAAAAAAAAAGCTTTTGGCCTGCTATAAAAAATCAGTCTAAATATTATAATATTTTGAGGAATGGAGATTCTTCGGATGAGAAACTTTGGACCCTTCACAAAATAGGAAGAATTTTTTTTGTATCTGGTAAGTTTTGTTCAGTCTTCACCAAAGATTTTCAAGAAAAATTCAACTCCATCGTGGCTAATGATGACGGTTTCACAATTATTATTCTAATAGAGTCTAAACGTGGTCTAAATAATAACTTGAGATTAGGGCAAATTTTGCGTTTGGAATGTAGAATTCTACATCACAGCAAAACCATAATAATTTTGCTAATAAAAACAAAATCCATATCATATCGTTATCCTCTAAGTATCATGATTCCTCACTTATGATTTTTTCACTAGATAATTTGGACAAAGCCAAAGAAAAATTAAAACAGGCTGAATTCACTTCTGATGTTCAGAGTGATTCAGAATTGGATAGCCAAACAATTAAAAGGAGAAGAATAGCACCCAGAAAATTATATGAGTCAGAAAGTGAGGAGAGTGAAACCAATGAAGAATTTTTAGATCTGCCAAGACCACCTCAGATCAAATCAAAAACTAGTGAGAGGCTGAAGTTTGGTTATTTATATTATTATTATAGAGATGAAGACATATAATTATCTTCTTACATTCTGCATGGTCAATAGGAGATACTGAAATAATTCAAAATTAATGCTTTCCAAATGTTTCATTGAAGTATTTTTTTAGACTGATACATATAAACATTCATGACATGTCTATTTTTTTTCAGGTCAATTGTCCCAAAAAAGTTCTGTAGAAAAAAACAGAGTTGGAACACCTTCTGTAGATTCAAAACGAGATTCCATGACATCAACTCCAATTGTGCAAAAGAGTGATACGAACCAGATATCAGGTATGATTCTGCATAGCTTTTTCAAAAGCATTGTGTTAGTCTAATATAATGCAATTTTTCAGGATATCAACAAATTCTGCGTACATTGGAATACATAAAGGAACAAAATAAACAGATCCTTGCTTTGCTGAACAGTCGAGGAGGTAGTTTTTCCAATCAAGCATCATATAATCTGGATAATTTGCCAGTTGAAATCCCATTATCTTCCAATGAGGACCTGAACATCCTGGAGAACTTTTTAAAAGAAGACCAGAACTTGAGAAATTTGGTAAGGTTATATCTCGTTTTCATGCAATGTATCAAGTAATTATAATATTTCTCCTTTACATTTTAGATGTCTTACTTATCTTCTTTGGGCGGAAAAGATCATATTGTGCAGACCAATAACTGTTTACGTCGACTGTTAACCAATGACTTTTCTTGCCAGTTCAGCTTTATGGGAAAGAGAGGTGGAAAAAAAGCATTTTCTGACTTATTGTTAAAGAAGTGTGTAATTGGTGAGTATTGGTACAACAAATTAATTAAGTGTATGATAAACACTTTTTATAGGTGCAGTCACAAAAAATCTACCTCAAATCAAAGAACGCGATATAGAAGATGCCATTAAAAACTGGCTGAAGCATTCACCTCAGAGATATCACAATGAACTTTTGAAAAATCGTCGAAACACCAATTAGCTTTTTTTTTTTTAAATATGGATAAAAGAAAAATTGTTGGTAATAGACAAATTTATAGAAGGGTGAAAAAAGCTGTTGAACATATGGTGAGTGACTTGAATACTTCAAATAGTTCTTTACTATGCTCTGAATTTGACCAAAATTCTGATCATAATATCCCCACTGCAGTTTCTGGGTCTAGAGTAGTTTCATATCAGTTTGAAAACACAATTCATAATGCTGATCAAAATTACCCTAATGGCTTTGAGTCAATTACAGATTCAGATCATGATTACAATGGGCAATCAATTGATAGTAATAATAATGATGATGCACCTGCCCTCAATAATGAATTGAATGAAATGTCTGTCGATTCAAACTTCTCAACCAGTCTAAAAAATTGGGCCATTGAAAGTAACATACCACGAAGGTCATTATCAAATCTCTTGAAAATTCTTCATCCTTTTCACACTGATTTACCCTTGGATTATAGAACTCTTCTCAGAACTCCTGAAAGTATTGAGATTAAAATATTACAAAATGGCGAATATGCACATTTTGGTTTGAAAAATGCATTGCACAATTTTTTGACCTCTAATGATGTTAGTGATGATGAACTTAAAATCAGTTTCAATGTAGATGGGATCCCTTTGTTCAAAAGTGACAATAAGAGTCTCTGGCCCATTCTGGGAATAATTAAAAATGGTGGTCAGCAAACTACTCCATCTTCTATTGGAATATTTTATGGATCATCTAAACTTTCTCCACTGAAAGATTTTTTAGCTGATCTTATCCTTGAATTGCATGATTTACTCAGGAATGGTTTAGACTATGGTGGTAGGAGTTATAATATTGCAATCCACAGTTTTGTCTGTGATGCACCTGAAAGGGCATACTTAAAGTGTATCAAGGGACATGGGGGTTACTCATGTTGTGAAAAATGCTCAGTTATTGTACAGCGAGTTCCAGGTAGAGTTATTTATAGAGATATATCAGCTTCAAAACGAACTGATGAAAGCTTCAGATTACAGTTTGACAAAGAACATCATTTGACTACTTCACCCTTGATTAGGCTTGGAATTGGTCTAGTTTCAACTTTTCCCATTGATTATATGCATAATATTTGTCTAGGGGTGATGAGAAAATTGATGAACTTCTGGTCAGATGGACCCTCTAAAGTCAAACTTACGAAAAAAATCTTCAGAACTTGTGTCTGATTATTTGATGTCACTGAGAAAGTATATACCAATTGAATTCAATCGAAAACCACGTGGCCTAAATGAGTTAGCTAGATGGAAAGCTACCGAATTCCGAATGTTTTTATTATATGTAGGACCTGTGATTTTGAAAGTTTCTTTTAATAAAGTTGTTTATGAAAATTTTTTGCTTCTACATTGTGCAATTTCTATACTCATATCTCCAATCCACATTTCACGATTAGGTACTAACTTAGCAAAAAAGCTGTTGGTTGCATTCATTAAGCATTGTGAACAGTTGTATGGATCACAATTTTTAATTTACAATGTTCATTTATTACTGCATTTGCCAGATGATGTTGAAAATTTCGGAAATTTAGACAATTTTTCCTCATTTCCTTTTGAGAATTATTTGGGTTATTTGAAACGACTAGTAAAATCACCAAAACAGCCTCTGCAGCAGATTTTCCGACGCCTAAAAGAAGTTGAAAATAGTGATAAAGTAAATTCCAATGAATCCGAGAATGCTTGCATCATGGAACATAAAATGGGCCCTTCAAATGACATCAGTTTGGATTGCAAACAGTTCAAAAAATTCAATTTCAATCACTTTAGTATATGTATAGCCTCTCATTCTCTTGCTGATTCATACTGCTGTTTTGGAAATAATTTGGTACAGATTCACAACATCATGATGAAATCAGATGGAGCAATTTTTTTCTTAGGCATAAAGTATTGTTCACAAAAGCCGTTGTATGAATATCCTTTCAGCTCTGAAGATTTGAAAATATTTTTGATATCTGATCTGTCCATGGAACTGACTATTTGGAGTATTCAAGACATCATATGCAAGTGTTTGGTCATACCACTACCAAATACTGGTGAATTGGCAGCTTTTCCCATTATTCATTCCTTAGCTAGCAAGTCTCTAGCTCAACAGTAAGAACATAATATTATGTTCATTCAACATTGTAAGAAAATGTATATCTGATTTTAATTCTTACCTGTATGCCATTCAGCATTTCTACCTATTTCAACATTGTAAGAAAATGTATATTTAATTTTAATTCTCACCTGTACGCCATTCAGCATTTCTACCTATTCTTATTTTTGAATAAAATTTTAAAAAACAGTTGATATAATTTGTTAGTCCTTCATTAACCTTATCTAAAAATGTTGTAATTCATGTACATTTCAAATTGTTTGAACTACGCAGTTTCAGAAAAAAAGGATATTTTTCACTTTATGGATATATTCAAAATATCATTCGAATATGTTGAAATACAAAATTCGTTCAAGATTTTGTTTTCATTAATTCTATATTTATTCTGTTTGTGAAGTAAGATTTTTTCTGTATTTCATAAATTGATTAAACGTCTGAAGGCTAATGATAGGCCAGGCCAGCAGCCACCACGAAATTTTTTTATTGATTACTAACAAGCTGAAACTCCGTGAGTAGATTCTATTTGACGAGACAACGAACTTTTTCCTTTGTAAAATTTCTCAGTTTAGCTCTACTAATACTTGAGAATTTTCGCGCAAAGAAAAAAGTTGGTTGTCCCGTCAAACTGAATCTTCTCACGGAGTTTCAGCTTGTTAGTAATCGATAAAAAAATTTGGTGGAGATTGCTGGGCTAAAATTTAATAAGAAAAAAGTCTGTCGACGTTCCTCAAAGAACGTATTTGGACGTCATTGAGAAGTCGTCAGTTCGACGTAATATTGAGACGTTCGTTAACGTCATTATTAGACGTCATATTACGTCGATTCAATGACGTCGATGGGCTGTGACATTTTCACGTATAATTAGGGTTAATTAACGTGTTTCACATGGTCAATATGACGTAACTCATGAAGAAAAATGTACGTCAATAATACGTGATCATGTTAGCTGGGGTACGATTCTTTTTAGATGCTTTGGATTTGTTCGTTAGAAAAGCTCACCTATTAATAGAGAATGAAAACAATAATAGGGCAGAGAGACTCATGAATATTGTCTCAAGATTCAACGAGGGCAATCGATTGAATCTTATTCAAACAGGGTCATATCGAAGAAGAGTACATTTGTCTGGACTAAGGTACAATAAACAGTTCCAGTTGCATTGGAGTCCTTATAAAAATGTTACTGGCACAAGCCCTGGGACACACTTCAGAGCTTTTATGGCAAAAAATACTCGAAAACATGAGTTGACTCGAAAGAGATTATTCTCTAATACAAATTCTGACGAAAGACCAATGGCGAGGAAAAAAATGAAACATAACTACTCTAAATGTGATACAGATCATGGCCCTCAGGCAGAACAACCAATAGTCGATGCGGAATTGTTTGAAAAAGATGTGGATGACATTATAAATAGATTGAAGGTAAGTTTAGGTAGATCGTTTGCAATCTGATGGCAGTAGAAAGAAATTGATGGATTGTTTCCTCTAATCAAGAATATGTTGTTCTGATATCATAATTTAAAGTTCATTCTATGTACATGCTGCCATCTGTTGCCTATACTCTAATGTAAAACGGGGAACTTGTTCATTACTTAATTAAAATACAGTCAGTCACTGCTGAAAACTTAAACTGGACGCTGCGTTTCATTTCTCTGCAATATAGTCCATGTGCCAGACCCATCAGTCATTATAGTTTGGGGGGACTGAATGAAACTCATACCACGTGTTACTAGGGTCATATTGAACAAAAAAGTCAGGGGGGGCCATCATGAGGAGGTAGCTTTCAGATATGGCGGCCGTTCAAAATGGCGGACGAATGTGAATATTTGAATGCAATTATCTCAGGATGGGGTGGATCAAATTCGAATTTCTCTCACTCAAAATATAGGATATTCTGCTAGCTTTATTTTTGTTGCATATATCCCAGGCTGAAAATCAATATTTATGTGCCAAAATTCAAAAAAACGGAAAATAAGGTTCTTGAAATTTACGTTATGTTGTTTATTAGACCAACGGTTGAGTATATCGAAAATGTACTAGGAGTAAAAGTTGTAGAAGAATATTTCAGCTTCAAAACATTGGCAAGAAATCAAGGATCGAATCGATAGAACGCGAAATATCCAGATTGGAAGCGGGCGGAGCAGAGTTGAGCGCGTTGACCGAGCCCTCAATTCTGTCTAGCGGGAAGAGTACAATCGACCACTAGATGGTTTCACATCACCTAATAAGGTGCATTATTTTTGTAACATGATTTTCAATCACATGAACTAATAACTATCATCAACAATAATCATATAATTCATCTGGAATATGGATAACAATAATAATCAATAATAGTCATATACTGTCAACTTTTAATATCTCGGTATTGAACAGCATCTTGTCAATGAACTTAAATAAAGTGAGGTGATTGAATGACGGAAGAAGTAGAACAACTTAGGTAGATATCGAAAACATTGAACAAAACAATCAAACAATAAGAAATCAAAACGACTTATGCATGCCTTACATAAATATCATACATAAATGATATCTTACATAAAAAATTTGGATTCAATCTTTCTCACTAGAATCACTATCATAGTTATTATAATTACACTTTCCTCATCTGCTGTTTCTTTGGTACACCCCTTGCACCCACAGCTCTCGGTGCATCGGATTTGAGTTGCTAAGCACGAGCAAGTTTCTGGTGTACAGTTGCTCTTGCAGTGGCACCGCAGAAAGGAGAGTATGCACTCCGGTGCTGGCAAGCCTTCCATCCACTTGACAGATAAGTTACCTGATATGTCCTTTTCCCACCCATGAGAGAAGGGATCCGGAATTAGCGGTTTGGTTTCCAGGCTTCTGAGCCAAATTCCGGCTTGATAGTTGGCACGTTTTTTGTG